ACCAGGGTATTTGTATTGCTTCGCTTATAATTCACCAGACAAGCGAAATTGTAAGTGAATTTATCTTAGGCTCAAAGAAAATCTGAAATCTCTAAAAACACTTGCTAGTAAACTGATTGGCATTAATATTAATATGCCAACATATTCTACATGAGGTTCATCCAAATGGACTACCGTACCCTAAACCTTATAAATTTCACAGGGATTAGGATAAGGGCACCAGAAACAATTGAAAATGAATCCATGAGGATAATTTCTGGAGCCCCCACACAAAAAAATCGTGAACATGAGGCAAGAGCTAAAACTCTCCACCAAATATGAAAGCATTATGTAACTAAATATGACCTTCTGCGATAAGGTCATGAGAGACTCAACATCAGCAGCGTTGCTAAGAGACAGACTGGTGCTGTTGACAGACCAGTACATGTAAGTGTTGCCGAATCTACGCCAGACAATCTATATATAAATTGGGTAAGTATGGAAGTACTGCCGACCTCCTAAAACTGAATATTACTATTGTATGCAATGAATCAGTAATGATATTCTCCTTTATCTGTACCATACAATACAAGTGTCATACACTTCCATCAGCAAAAAAAAAAGTAAAAAATCCAAAAAGTTGAGAAATACAGTATTTCTCAAAGTAACAACACTTGACACCTTTGATTCCATTATAAGTACATTTAAGTGTTGGGAGCCTCCAGAATGCAAATCTGCCATCAGAATATGCGTATTTCATGTTAACATCTGTACTATTGAAAACAGCTGAAAAACTACAGTGAAAAACACTAATTTTAAGACTTCGTGGAGGTCACCATAGGAAGGGGCCCCTCTTTAAGGGGGGAATGAGAAATATGGCTAGCACTGATACACCTTTGGAAGTTCCTTAACATCTACGAGTCACCTTACAAAACTTAACGTGACTAGCCCCAGCATCTGACCTCCAATCTTGGACATACATGTAAACAGTCAAACAAAAAGGCATCAATTTTTATAGCTATAGATCTATGGGCACATAAACGCTGTGCTTGCACTAATAGCTCTGTTGAAATATCAACAGGTCGTACTGCAGCAGCCTGTAATTTATACAAAACAACAGATTTACTCACAGATATTACTAGTGTACACTACAAAATTAACCTAGCTCTACACATACAACTAGTTGCATTACAACTTGTCACTGATAAATTGTAAAATACAAGAGTAGTTTTCTGTGATTAAAAGTCAGCTCTTCAAGCACTTTAATTAAAACCCAACATTCGAAATAGATACTAGGAATGTTGTAATATCAAATATAATTAATTTTGTCGGGGACAGGCAGCCTGCGTATATTACGTTAAGGTTATATCGAGGTTCACTCTCCCGAGGTCGAACTACTGACCCTCCCTTAGGATGCAACCCCACAACAGTTAGCTAACTTCCGGGTACCTAGTTACTGCTAGGTGAACAGAGGTATTAGGTAACAGGAAACATACCCAACCATTTCTAGTGCGGTCTGCTGCATGATGCGAGGAGGACGTGTTGCTCCGCATCTTCGTGTTTGCACGTGGCTGCTGCAGCTAGATGTTGTGAATTTGTTCTCGACTGTTGCAGTGATACAGTGCCTTTGTGTATCGAGGAAATGGCTGAGGCGGTCTGCCTAGGTGATGGAAGATCCTGTACTGGGCCTGGAGAGTGTGACAGTGGGGATGGCAGACAGGATGATACTAGGCCGTATCAAGCAGTAGTAAACAGATATAAACGGAGAAATATTCAAAGACAGCGAGACGAAGACAGTGAGGAGGAAATAACAAAGAGACCAAAAAATGAAGACATGCTCAGCAGGACGCGGGAGATGCAGACTAATGGAAGGAAGAGGCTGTTGTTCCCTACAGCATGTCAACTGAATTTCCATCAAAAGCTGGAGTGGACGGTTCGTTTGGCTAAGGAGTTTTTTGAATATGAACCACTATTCAAGGAGGGTCTTCACCGGCCCTATATAACAGTTGGGACAGAGGAGGCCGTGGAACACCTAACGAAGGATGGGTTTGAGAATATTGTGATGGTTACTCCGGAAAAAGGTATGATGTACACCAAGGTCATAGTGTTTAAGTATCCAACTTATTTGGATCCTGATTATCTATTGCTCAACAATGATAGTGTTGTTTGGGCAAAGAGGAACAGTGTTCGTGGTGAAAAACAAAGCCAGGTTGTTGCCTTGGTAAAGGGTGAGGCTCCAGAAAGAATTTTTGTGCAAGGACTAGGCTACAGGAAAGTTGTAAAATACATTGAGGAGCCCATATTATGCATGAAGTGTTCTCGTTGGGGACATATGGCTTGGAAATGCCAGTTTGACTCCAGGTGTCGGTACTGTGGTAAGAAACACGACTCTCGAGAGTGTAGAGTCAAGATTAAAAACGGTGAAAAAATCGTCCCATCTTGTTGCAATTGTCGAGGAAGCCACAATGCTGGTTCCTATCTATGTCGCATGAAGCCTCATCTGAGAGACTCGAGGACGGGTGCTACAAGCAGGATAGATGTATCCTCGAAGGAAGGAAAGATTGTGCAGCAGGAACATGGAGGAAACAGTTGGAAGCCAATGACAGCGCCTATGAACAATGTGTGGGAGAAAGGAACAGAGACAATTAAGGCGAGCCTAGGGAAAGTAGGAAATGCAGCTGAAAAAATTAAACCTTGTGGAAACAAGGTTCAGGTCAATATAGTGAACTCTGAGGTTGGTACTCAAATATTGGAATATCTAAAAAAACTAGAAAAGAGGATTGAGGCATTAGAAAAATTAACTATGGGGGGTAGACGGGGTGAAGATGGTGGTGAAACAGGACGTGAAGTGGAAAGTGAAACAGGACGTGAAATGGAAAGTGAAACAGGACGTGAAATGGAAAGTGAAACAGGACGTGAAATGGAAAGCCAAACAGGACGTGAAATGGAAAGCCAAACAGGACGTGAAATGGAAAGCCAAACAGGACGTGAAATGAAAAGCCAAACAGGACGTGAAATGGAAAGTGAAACAGGACGTGAAATGGAAAGTGAAACAGGACGTGAAATGGAAAGTCAAACAGGACGTGAAATGGAAAGTGAAATAGGACGTGAAGTGGAAAGTGAAACAGGACGTGAAATGTGCGTTGAAGAAAGTAAGGAAGAACATGACGTATTGATGATAGAGGATAGTCAGGAAAATGAACTTTCTAGTAGTGTTAGCGTTCAACCTTCTGTAGTGACAAATGTCGAAACAAAGGTTAAAGTAAAACGGTATAGAGAAATAAGAAAGAAATTAGATATGAATAAGATCACCTTTGATGCTAGTAGCTGTTGTGCAAATGAGGAGAAAGCAGAAATGTTACAGTGTTGGGAGAGTCTGTCTGAGAAAATCTCGTATCTCATGGAATGTGACAGACAGGGCAAAGGTAGTTTTATTAAATCATGGATGAAAGTAGAGTGAGAATATTATCTTGGAGCGTTAATGGGTTAAAATCTAGTGCGGTGGATGTACACTATTATACTCTTAGATAGTACTATATTAACCTGATATGTTACATGGGATTCTTGTATTTGTACTCACTGAATTTGTGCGCCCCTTGAGGGACTTGAAGTATGGGAAGGGGTAGAAATAGCCTAAGCTAATCTTTGATTTTTTTTTTTTTTTTTTTTTTTTTTTTTTTTTTTTTTTTTTTTTTTTTTTTTTTTTTTTTTTAACTTGTCTCAATAAACCTACTTGAACTTGGAAGACCATTATGTATTAAAGTGTCAAATTATGGATAACCATAGAAATAAGGAAATAAGTAGTGTACCACTTCAAATTGTTTGGATGTGTGATAATGATATGATAGACAGAATACTTAGGAACTACAAGAATTTTGCCCCAATGATTGTAACACTTACTATATTAATATGCAATGTTAAATGTTGTATTGTGATTTGTGTATCAGTACTCACTGAATTTGTGCGCCCCTTGAGGTACTTCAAGTAGAGGTGGGTAGAAATAGCCTAAGCTACTCTATCCCTTTGAGATGTATTTTTTTCTTGTCTCAATAAACATACTTGAACTTGAACTTGAAAACCGTTCATGTTTATACAGTGTTCTCTGGTTGTGCTAATGACACCCCTGTTCTATTCTGCATTTTATAATCCCAGATATAAAAAAACTTGTCATATATGTTAAAAGCTCTTTGCCACATGAGCCTCTCTCTTCTCAAATGTGACAGGCTTCAATATCATGGTATCTTGGTACACTGGTAATTCTACCCATTACGTTTTAAATGCCTATGCATTTAAAACAAAGTTTTCATTATATGGTCTTTCCAGTTGTTTTTTTTTCATATTGATCCTACAGCTCTAAATGGGGATTTAAATGCCAGACATAAACGATTAAGCAGTCTCCGTGGCGCGGTGGTAAAACATTCGGCGCTTCGCAAGCGCTTTGGCCTGGGTTCGTATCCTGGCCGGGGAGGATTGACTGGGCGCCAATCCACTGTAGCCTCTGTTCACCCAGCAGTGAAATGGGTACGTATAATAAGAATAAGAATAAGAATAAGAATAAGAATAATGTTTTATTTAGGAAAAGTACATACATAGATGCAGAGTTACAAACATTCTGATTGATTTATAGATAGAGCTAGTACATACAATACCTAGAGCCACTAGTACTCATAGCGTTTCAGGCAAGGCAACCTAGTTGTTAAACGATTTGGAGGGTCGTATTCCGGGGAAAATTAGGATTAAGGACCTGCCCGAAATACTGCGTGCTAGTGGCTTTGGGTACACAGCCCAATGTACCTTCTTGTAATAAATAAATACATAAATAAATAAAGGTAAAATTGATTAGGCTTGTATCTTTCCTTATAATAACAAATACGTCACGAAAAATTATTTTATAATTTGGATAATGTAAGTTGTTAATCAATATTTTTTATCTTAACTCCAAATAACTAAATATCTTTCAATTTACGTTATTAGATATAATTTACAGTTTACTAAATAAGAGTACACAACATGCATAAAAACCGCTGCATAACCTGGATATAGAAAAGTTCCCTTTCCCAGCTGTTTCTACCTCCCGCATGTGTAGCAGCGGGTCCCAGGAGCTGGAGCACGCTGACAGCCACACCAGGAGAAGCACCCACCACAGAGGAGGCCCTGGAGGAGGCCCCACACCAGCCACCACAGCAGGAGGAGGAGAGGACGTCTCCGTCATGAAGTGCAGACGTTTAGTGGTGGACACGGCCGCCTTCGTCAAGAATGTCCCGCTCTGGGTGAGGCTGCTATGCTAAGGTGGCGTCTGCAAGACTATTTGGCGTATCACACGGGAGTAATTACATGGTCGCTAGTACGGAACTGCTGCTTAGTGCCCAGTGTCGGGGGGGGGGGCGGATAGGGATACAAGTTATATCGTCTACAGGACGATTCCCCATCGGGTTTTTGGAAGTTACTTAACCTAACCTAACCTAGCTCATCCTAACCCAACCTAATCTAACTTAGCTCAACCTAACCTGATCTAGCTCAACCTAACCCAGTACAACCTAATCTAGCTCAACCTAACCTAACACAACCCAAACGAACCTAACCAAAATGCATAGCATTTCAGGCAGGTCCTTGATCTTAATTTTCCCCGGAATACGACCCGCCAAATCGCTTAACAATCGGGTACCCATTTTACTGTTGAGCGAACAGAGGCTACAGTTAAGGATTGGTGTCCAGTCAATCCTCCCCGGCCACGATACGAATTCAGGCCAAAGCGCTCGTGGAACGCCGGGTGAGTGTCTTACCACTGCATGGTAGGTTAGGCATGGTGTATACTTGCTGTATCTGGACATCCAACATTCTGTTTGTAACTCATTGTGAATGTAAACACTTTTTCCTAAATAAAATTATAATTATTATTGCTGAGGATGTAGGCCACTGTGCTACAGAATTCACTTGACAGGTCATATATATAATGTAGTACAGTATATAAATATAAAATATGGAGGATTGTAATGTACAATATTAAAAGTCCATACAATTAACCCAAAGCATCCTAGAATTTTATGAATAAAGAAATGTATTATATTTGCTTATTGTAATGATGGAGACGAATGTAGAATGTGAAAATAATGAGCGATTTCGTCCGAGTTCGAGCCAGGAATAATTGGGGACCTGGTCAATAACTGACTGACTGGTGGTTTTCCCGGGAAAACTAGTAAGATAAGGCTTAACATGAGCTATGGGAAGAGAGAGCTCCAAGTCGGCTAATAGGAGTCAGAAGTCATCTTCTCGATTCTGTAACCATCTGTGTAAAAATTAAATATATATACAGTATATATGGGAACAGGTGATGGGTCCTGCAAATATTTGGATAAAAGCAAAAAAAAATATATTGCTGTATTTCTCATACAGTTCTATTTACATTATCCTGTATCAACATTGTGCAGCACCCTGTAGATCTATCTGTATTTGACAGAGGTCTACCCACAATCCTTAGGGTTAAATAGATTCCATTATTTATATACAGGCCACTGGACATTTGGGTGATAAATGTTGATGTGAGGAGGAAATGTTGCCGTTTTAGCCAAATGTTTGTTTTCATGTTTCAGTAATTGAAGGCGGTGTGCTTGAAACTTGAGCTGTTAATGAGAGATTATTGATCTTAAGAACAATCATGCTAAATATTGAATAAGTGGAGAGTTGTGGAAAGAAAAATCTAAGAAGTATATACAGTATACAATGTATTAATTTTTTTGACGTGTACTGTATTTAACATGTTTAACTATGCTTTCATTGCTTTAGTATTTCTACATTTAATTGCTGATGGCCAGTCTTTTTAAGATTTTTAGTTGTTAATTGGGAGTCACTCAGGTGGTCTGAATTAAAATGGGTAGATCCATTGTCAGCAGTATAATGGGATTAACTATTTTAAGGGTTGATGTTTTTATCATGAAGGCATATGATGTGCAGTTAATAGAACAGTAGAAGATAATTATTTGAGACAAGTTTAATAATACTTCTAAAGTGTACAGTTGCTGTATTCACTTCATAAATGAAAAAAATACCAAGGATTATTTTTTACTCCATATATACCGGGTAAATAATATTGACAATGATATGCATTTTGGTACAGGAATATGGAGAGGAGCTATTTAGCTTGCCAGAAGTTATTGAGGAGATCCGGGATAAGCAGACAAGACAGCGGGTGGAAGCCATGATTGTCCCCATCACCATGAGACAACCTCAGGCACACTCAATAAGGTTTGGTAAGTGACATTTTGATTTTGACATTGTTATCCATGGCATTGTTTGTTATAGAAAACATGGGGGATGAGTTTTAATTATTTGGGGTCATGTAAGCACAGTGGTTTACATCCTTGACTCGTACCTAAGGGACCCCGAGTTCAATCCCCGAGCAGGATCAAAACATTCGGAAAGGTTTCCTTTTACCTGATGCGCTGTTCACCTTCGCTTTAAATAGGTACCTAGGAGTTAGGCGAGTGGTGTGGATTGTATCCCGGGGAAGGTCGGTAGTTGACCTAGGGGTAGGCCTCAGTGAAGCTTGGTACAGGCTTCCTGTCCACAATAGTGGGAATTGTGATCAACATGTTCATTTTGAATAATTTTTAATCATGAAGCTCATATCGTCATTTCTCATAAATTTTGCGTTGCGTTTTAACATCCACCTTATTCTTATTTATTTATTTTTATTTTATTTATATACAAGAGTTCTTACATTCTTGTAAAGAACTCTTGTATATAAATAAAATAAAAATAAATAAATAAGAATAGCACACAGCATTTCGAAGGTCCTTAATCCTAATTTTCCCCAGAATATAACCCACCAAATCGTTTAACAACCAGGTACCCGTTCACTGGTGGGTGAACAGGTGGGATGTTAGATGGTATTTTGGACGATTCTGTAGAAGCCATTCAGCTGTAGTGAGAGGCATGGGGAGGAAGAGGAGTTTGTAAACAGACATATACATATACATATACAAGGGGTTTATCTAACTTTCTGATCAATTTATTTAAACTCGGTGATTCTTGTAATTTCAGAGAGTAATACCACAGTATTCATTATTTTATGTGTATGGAGGTGTTAATATGTGAATATACTAATAATGTTTACAGTATTGTTTACAGTATCTTTTGTATGCCTGGATCTCATTAGGTTCCTTCCACATTGTAAACTTTTATGAATTATAGTCTTTGTTGGCTTTTATTGTTCGGGCTAATTTTCTTCCACAACTCTACTCTTTGCTTTGATTGTGCAAGTTTCTTTTTGTTAATCGTGCAGTGATATTTCAAAGTTTTAATCACATGTAGTACTTACCATTCACACCAGCTTCACATACACAATGTCCCTCTTTTCATCACTATATCATTACTTTTGTCCACTTTCACTTTTTAAATCGGCTCTCACACACACACAAATGAAACTTTCAAATTCTCTTCCTAATTATTTGTCACCTCTTAAAGATATCATCATTTGCATACATAAAATTTGACATTCTCCACATAGCTGTGTCATGCACTAGGTTTACACTATTCTCTAATATTATCTTGATCTCACTCATGACCCCATCTATATCTATATGTACTGTATATCTAATTATTTATTTTGAGCATATTAAGTGACATCACAAAATCCTGGTTTAAACTGTACCTCCTGTATTATCATATTAGTCACTTTTGCTATTAATTAACATTAAAATATGTTGCATGCATTCATAAAAACTCATAATTTAACAAAACTGTCTACAATTGTGTATGTTTATATTCTGAAAAGCTGTCGCGAGGCATTGGAAATGTGTTTTATGTCAGTATTCAAAGGTTTATAAAGGTCACTTTAGACTCATAACTGCATATTTTTGTCTTGCTTTTAGAGTACATGGTTTCTTTGTCTAGTTATGATAGATGAACTGTCTTTCTGTAATTACAGTTAATGAATTTTCTAAGAAGACGGGAGATTATGCCAGTTTGTCGCTAGCCGATGTTAAAGTCTTGGCCCTTACATATGAGCTTGAAGTTGAAACTCGAGGAGGATCTGACCACCTTCGATCAGAGCCACAAAAGATAATCACTGAAGGAGCTGCTACGAAGGGCACTAAAACCAGTGCACCCAACATTGAGGGTTTTTATCTTCCATCTCAAAAGGTAAATTATTGTAACCCCTGTACAGTAATTTATTTCACATTAGATGAGGAGACATAAAGGTCTACCATTCTGTGACAGACTTGTGCTTAATTTGCAAAGGAATGCTCACTAGCTTTCTTAACTATATTAGTGAATTTTCTAGCGGTGAATATGACTTTCTGGTTTGTCTTGATTTCCAGTTTGTCTTTACAGATAAACCACAAGGGAATTCTTGATTGTTAAAGCTATTACTGAAATTGTTATACATTAGTGGCAATAGGCAGAAGTTTATAGCAGTGATTGACTATTTATTAGTGAGGACTAGGTATTAGTTTTTGGCTTCTGATGCGACTTGTAATGTGTAAATTTCATTATTCATTAACATCCTTTATGGGGGTATTTCTTGATATCCTACAGTGCACTACTGTAGTTCTGTACCACTGAGGCAATCACAACATTACCAGGCCTCTGGACTTGGGCAGGCCTACTGAACACCAGGACCAGAATCTGGTGTGCTTATAGAAGCAATGGGAGCATTAGGATCCAAGATCAACCTCCAAACTGAGTAAAACCACCTAGAATGTACAGTTGAAGCAAAACAAGCTATACATCTTGATTAAATAGAGAAAAGATAGAAAAAAGGGAAATGGTAGTTTGCTCAACATCAACAAAGCATGTTCCAGTGTCCAAGTGCATCACCAGATCACCCATGGATTCAAAGTGCCTGCCGGCCTTACTCATGTGCTACTCCCTAAAATTTCTCCAGTCTCCATGGAAAAGGACAAAGAAGGATGGGTGTGTGGGGCTACTGAGGCCAACCAAAAAGGGCCTTCTCATTTCATTCAATGCTTGATTTCTGGGCTGGCCTTCAGTAGTTCCCCAATAGCACCTCAAAATAGTAACATCTGTAGGCTAAAAGAGTATAAAAGAGAATTATACAGAGGGTATGATTCACCCCTGCCTGGACATACGAAGTATCCACTGCTAGAGAACCCTTACGAAACTCAGAGGTCCATAATTCATGGTCAAAAGGGACCAAGAAGGCTGGAGATGTAGAAAGTGGTTCCCAGGACAAAAAGAACAAAACCTCATTTTGTGGACCCAATGAGAATTCGTCTGATTTGATAACAAAATGTTTGAAGCACCAGATAAGGGTAGTGAGGCAGAATCCGGCACACCTAAACCATGAAAAGTATGTACGAGGTAAAGTGTATGGGATCGGAATTAAACTGAAAGAATTCTTATCCACCACATAAACGGAATCCCACATAAAAAGGCACATCTATGAATAAGCATAACCAAGCATTAATTAATTTTTTTGTTTAAGTACACTTAATTATTTAGTCAACTCCCATCATCAGGTCTTGATTAAAGACAAAGTCCCAAGTAGTACCTGGACACCAGGGCAGGACGTATAGTGGCCTTGCACAGTCCATTGGCAGAGAGAAACCTGGTACCCATTCACATAGTTCATTTTGTGAGTGACTCTGTGGTACCAGAGCCAATGCACTTCAAAGCTACCGAGGACCAGCCCAGAATATGTTGTGCTGCCAACCAGGAATAAACAAAATCATGAATAACAAACCCGCAGATTGCAAGTAAGTAATTATTAAAAGAAGGCACCAAGCCGGGAAGACTATGTAGCACTATCAAATGTGCAGGATATTCACAAGGTGCTAAATATCACTAAGGATGCCAGCACGAGAACAAAAGCGCATATGGCGAACGATATCAAAGGTATCTGATTCACGGAGGATTCTATCGAGGGACGGTCAGGAAGCAAGGCACGCACATCCTGGAAGTCGGGACATAAAACAAGGATACGCACAACTGTAAGAGGGGACAATGCAGTTTGGACAATAAGGAACAAGGCAACACTCCATTAAGTTCCTATGAGTTAAACGTATATGGCCAACACGTAACCTCGCCTGAGCCATTTCCCACCGCCGGTTACAGTGGTAGGAGGAAGGCCATGGGGACACGTTACCCTTAAGAGCACGCAGTTTGTTACCATTAACAGAAGATCATTGACCCTGCCAATGGGCAAGGATTGAGGAATGAATAGCTGGGTAGAAGTCAGAATAATAAGGAACACCTTTACGGGAAATGGGACAAGTGTGGGTAGCCTTCTTAGCGGCTGCGTCTGCAGATTGCAATGATCTGCTGTATTATACACTTACTTGGCTTGAACCCTCTTTCAGTCAGGAGCATGATGGCGTATGAATGATAATTGTATATTTAGTGGAAAATTATCTAGATAGCTATGTATGTCATTATGTTCATTGGCTGTCACACAAGGATCAGTATTTTATTGTGGAAAAAGATGTTTGGCATTTGGATGTCATTTGGTAAGAAATTTTGTATATTAAGTATATTTAATTTGATAACTGGATAGGAATATACAGTAATTTGATATAAAAATATATAAATGAAGTTACAAGGGTTTGTGTAACTGTTAGTGATTAAAAATGCTGGTACAGTAATATTTCTGCATTGGATACAGAGTATTTTATTTCTTTAAAACTTGAGGCATTGCATAAATATGGCTGAAAAAAAAAATAATTAGCTTAATTTAGGTTAATGACACAATATTTTCCCAATTGCCATGACAGTGTGATGGTAAAGCAACCATCTCTCCTGACAACCCGTTCAGGAGAGCTTCACCATCAGGTACCACAGGCTCAGAACACGTCTCCAGAGAATCGTTTCCCTTAACCAACTCTGCCGTGTTGTCTTCTCAAAGACACATCAGCTCGTGGCATTTGATGCTGATGAACAGTTTCCTTGAGGAACATAGCTACGTGAGTGGCCACTTACCCACAAACAATGACTTCATATTGCACTCCACCCTTGTCAGTGAATACCCTCAGTTTGGTCCAAGTAGAAGTCATTCTAATTCAGAACTACTGGTGCTTGATAATTCCAAAATACAGTTTGAAAACAGTGCATGTCTTCTTGACTTCACCTTCCCTCATGTGAAAAGATGGGCTTCACATATTTTGTCATTTAATGAAGATAGAACTATATGTTCTAGTTCCTCAGAGTGTGTGGAGGAACTGCTTCACAACTTGGAAGAGATGCGACGGCAAATGGTAAAACACCGTTTATAATAGTGCTTGAAATGTTAATGTCTGCATCGTAATTTTAATTAAAATTTTGGAATGCTGCTATTTATTATTCATTTAATTTTGTGCATGGATTGACAGTATTATGTAGTTATTAGATTTTGTTTTTCAGTTTTGTGTATTCCTTTGCATTATTTGTTGAATTTAAATGGAGAGTTTCAGAAGGTGTTACCAATGCAAATGTATTTTTCAGGCTGCATTAATTAGGGGTGTGATATATTTTTTAGCTCGAATTAAATATGCAAAAGGTGGCTTTTGTGGTTTTTCAGAATGCCCAATATCGAATAATTTTGCATGTTTTTTTAATGATAGAAAACAAATTTTTGTTGAGAAATTACTTAGCTACCATTTTTGTTGGGTGTAGTTGTTAGGAGTGAGGAGTGTATGGCACATTAACCCCCACATTGCTCAAATCGCCATACGCAATTGTCCTCGTGTGCCTGAATTGCCATACGCAATTGTCCTCGTGTGCCTGAATTGCCATAAGTGATTGAACCTTATGGGTTTTCAGTACTTTTTCTCTGTGTGCATCTAGATGTAGGACTCTTAAAATAGCTTTGTAGTTTAAGGATTAATTACGTTTACAATATTTTTCTGAGATTACTTTGGATTATCTGCCATTTTACAAGGGCTGTGATCTTCCATTTGTTATGATAATTGAGAACATTTTGCTTCAAGCGAAAGGACACAAAAGGTGTTACACTGCAGTGTAAATTAATTTGAATTATTGATAAAAATATTTTACTTAAATATTTTTTAACCTTTTATATTTCTAATTAAATTTATGCAACTGAAATATTGTCAATAAATTGTGGGTAAAATGTGTACCTTGGGTATATTACCCACGAATGTAATTCAAATGTATATGCCTAATTGCTTTCATTTAAATTTTGTTAAGTGGCATGTGCATTTTGGCAGTTTTGTGATGATTCTTGGACATAAAACATTTCTAAGCACCATACTCCAAATCAACTTGCAGGGTGAAGAAAGCTCTCTAGAGTGTGTCCAGCAGAATGACAGCAATTCGCTACAGTTAGACGAGAAGGATGGGGATAAATGTTCACCGATTGATCACCACAGTGACAAAGGTTCTCCACAATCCACGTTTGATGACCAGGCTGATGCAGGGTGTCCACAGTCTGACCAAGGAGAGCCAGCGCATGTGGATTTGAGCTCGCTCGTGCTTTCTGAACAATCCGAAGTACCAAATCAAAATGAAGATGATAGCAGTGAAGATGATCAAGTTGTCAGTGATACTGCAGAGGAAGGGGATGATGGTAAAGGTAGAAATACAATTCAGTTATATCCACATTCAGATTTTTTTCTCTGTATAAGAATTTGATAAATAATTTGTGGCTCATTCTGTGTATGTATTTCCAGGTGATAATGCGGGTAGCTTCCATGTAGTGTTATGGCAAAAATAGTTTTAAGTGGAAGTGATTGTAATTTAAAAGTAGTTTTTTAAAAGGTTTCCTAGTAGCAATACCTTTCATTTACTGTGGTTGAGTTGAATGTGTTGTGGTATTCTTAAGTTCCAATTTAGAAATCACTTGGATGGATAAAAATTGCAAATTATGTAGAGAACAAGTCACAGTAACGTGGCAAAGATAAATAACCCAACCCACAGATATGAAAAGAAAAGGAAGTGAGGTTCCAGGAGGTACATCCTGGACCCTTTGTAATTTGCAACCGAGACATACAGAAATGGAAGTCATCATGAGGCCAGAATAGGTAAGATGGGAGGAGAGGCGAGGTGTAAGTGGTATGTATTTAGCAGTCCCCGGGGCAAAGTGGTAAAACACTCGCCCAGCGTTTCGTGAGCATTTTGGCCTGGGTTCGTATCCTGGCCAGGGAGGATTTATTGGGCACCAATCCTTACCTGCTTGATATCTGCTTGATGGGGTTCTGAGAGTTCTTCTACTCCTCAAGCCCTGCCCGAGGCCAGGCTTGATTTGTGAGAACTTGGTTCAACAGGCTGTTGCTTGGAACAGCCTACAGGCCCACATACCCACCACAGCCCGGTTGATCCAAAACTTAACTGTAGCCTCTGTTCACCAAACAGCAAACGGGTACCTGGTTGTTAAACAATTTGGCGGGTCGTATTCCATGGAAAATTAGGATTAATTAAGGACCTGCCCAAAAAGCTATGCATGCTAGTGGGTGTACAAGAATGTAAGAACTGATTATATATAAATAAATTACAAAATTAAAAAATATTTACTACTAGGTGAACAGAAACTTTAAGCAAATGCTTCCAATCTTCTGTGGATATTGAACTCAGGCTCTTTGGTTGTGCTGATGACACAGGCCAGTGATCATTGATACGGGAAAGTATCTATAGGGAAGGGACACTACCTATGAACAGCCTGATTAGTGGTCCCACTACCTACCTGAAGTAGTCAAGAAGAGACATTTCTTTATGGTTCACCTGTACTGTATTAATGGAAAGAATAAATTGGTGATGAAATTATATTGTAACTAATCTGGTGAAGGAGTAAATAATTGGTACTAGCACTCTCTGATGCAATACAATATGTGACAATGACTGTACATAGCGCATTCAACTCCTATCAGTCCGGTGAGCTCTCGCTTGGCTACTCAAGGGTCACCAGGCAAGTGCAGCTTCACTTCAGATGCTCCACCTGTGTATAAGTGAAGCTTCGCTCCAGAAGCTCCACTTACATATAAGTGGAGCGTTATGTAAATGTAAATGCACGATTTTATATTTATATAACAGCTGTATTTCATTATGATTTTGATATGGATCTGTTAAAATATGAATACTGTACACATTTTTGATGCAGGAAGTTGGAGTACAAAGTTATTCATATGACTTATAGGATCATTGATGTGAAGGACTGTTTCATTTATAAAAAGATAGGGCATCTATCCCTTAAATAGCATACTGTACTTGATGTAGATAATAGTGCAATAGAGGTCGATTATTTTTATGTTGTGTTAATCTAGCCTCGTGTTTTTGGTGAAGGCTCTTATGACGATAACACGTGTTGAAGAAACCATCAATATTTGTTAATGTTAGTTTACCATATGTCAGTTTTAATATGAGTAAAAATTATTCATGTAGTATGGTGACGTTTGCAGAGGAGAGTGAGACTGACGACGTGTCTGAAGATGGAAGTGAGGAGGAAGGATGGATTACACCATCAAACATAAAGAGACAGAAAAACAAGAAAAATGCTTATTTCAATGCAGACGATGAGCTGAAGGAAGACGTCCAGGTGGCTTGTATGACGGCTGATTTTGCTATACAGGTAATGAGTGAGTTCAGTGTTTCTCTCTTCCATCCCTGGAGTACTGGGGTAGCTACACTGACACTTTTTTAACATGGGGTGACATACTACATATTCTCAATATAGATATTGTAAGAGTTTGGTAATGCGAATTCTGGTAACTTGAATCTTTGGTGTCCATAAGGAATTCACATGTTAATGTTCAGTGCAAGCAGCTGGTCACATACAGTGGAACATCAATTCAGTGAATCTCAATTTAGTAAACCTTGATTCAGTGAACCTCATTTCTCTGAATCTCCAGTTATAGTGCATACTTTCCAGGCTAGATTTACTTGCCAGAGTTTACAGCCCTATGGGAAAGATCTCCATCACATGATAGATTGAAGTTAAAATTTCGCTCAATGAAATTAGCATGTAGAGCAATCGTTCTCACCCCTTTTTTTTACTTCAACCCTATTTTCTAATGATCAAAAGACCTGTGACCCCCTACCACACTTTCATAATTGAAAAAAATTATGTAATCAGGATACTCGCCACTTTCTAATTCTCAATAATTCAGATATACTCCGTGACCAATAAAAAAGTATTTCATGACCTCCCTCGGGGGTCGTGGCTTATTGGTCGGGAACCACTGCCATAGAGCCATAGAGTGTGGGAACATTCATTAAAATATGGGCCCCGTCTTCCTTTGAAAATAAGATTTGGAGGCTGGGGCATGAGAAATATGCAAGATGTGGGGACACCTCTTTACAGACAGGTTCTCCTGGTGGTTGTCCATCATATGATAGGTTGAAACTAAAATTTCACATAGTGAAATTAGCCTGTAGAGTGGGAAATATTAGGGTATGAATGGTAATTCTTAATATGGCTCCAATCATGTTTTTAAGATTTGTGTAGAAGAAAGAAACAAGTGTGTTTTTTCTTCTTTAAGAAATACATCTCACAAATGCCTCCTGAATGCATCTCTGGTTTCAACAAATTTAGGGTTAGTCCCATAGAGTTCACTGAGTCGAGGTTTCCTTGTACGTGATGGCCAAATTAGCATCCAGAGTTCTTCAGCAAATATTTCAAGTTTAGTCAGTCTTTCAAAAGTTATTACAATGGAGGTTGAAATGTCTGGGGAAGATTCTGCAGGAAAATACCAGTCAAGACAGTGAACAAGGTATTTAGACATTTTGAAGAAAAGGAAAGCATTTACAAATCAGAAATGTTTGCAATTCCATGTACAGTACTTCATATTTTAATTACATTTGCATTATAAATTGATGTGATTAAATGTCTTTCCAGAATGTACTGAAGCACATTGGGTTATCCATCATGGGTGTTGATGGTAAATTTATCAGACATGTGAGAACATACATCTTGAGGTGCCATGCCTGCTTCAAAACTACATCTGTGATGACAAAGGTATGCTGCGTGTTAAGGGGTCGTGGTGTGCACGATTAGACCGCTGCAGACTTCTCACTCCACCAGTTTTGAGTTCTTGGCATTTAAGCTTAGCTAGGTCTAGAAACATGGAGATAAGATGTCACAATAATTTTGAGCTCAAACTATCAATTTATAATTAATAAGGCATTTAAAGCACAAATAAAAATGATATAATGACGAAATCACAAGAATATGACATGTCTGAGAAAATATTGAAGCTGTCTGATGGGATCTGACCCCTGTCCCTGAACTCCTCGGGCACAGTCAATGGTGCATGTGCCCGAGGCATTCAGAGATGCTGATTTGATCCCGTCATATGCTTCCATATTTTCTTTAGTGTTTAACATTAGTGATATTGGCATATACATCTTGGCCTCATGTCTGTGATCAGTGTGTAATATCCAAAGCATAACTTTATAAAATGCTCACCAAAATATACATAGAAACCTGAAATCAAAACAACTGGGTTTATTGATCCAATTTTGAGGGCTTGCAGAAGTACAGTAAATACAATTCCTTTGGACTTAACATACTAAATTTGTATTTTTTATTTTGTTTATATTATAAGATAGATGCAAGGAAGCAAGAGTAAGCACAGCACAGAGATAGCAACTTGTGTATAGTCTATGGATGCAAGTGTGTTTAAAGTTTGTAAGAGTGATAAACATTGGTAATAAACAATGTGATAAACATTGGTAATGAGTATGGATGCAAGAAATGCAAATTATTGTTGTGAATGGATATGGTAGTTTAGAGTTTGATATGTATAGTTGCTCTCTAAGTGTGAGTTTTTTTGAGAAACAAACTGTCTATGCATTGCAATTTCTAATTATGTTGTGTCAATACATGTGAAATTTTTGTTACTAATTTTATATGGTATCAGCAATTAAATATGAATTTGTGATGATGTGTCCAGTATTGTCATGATATTCAGATTTAGATATAATTATTTATCTTTTTATATAAGATTACCATTCAGTTTTTGTAGGTTACAAATCTGCATTTCATTTTGATAAGCTTTGTAAATTATAGAAATGGCAAATTTCCTCAGTTGTACAATGTGTATTTTTCCTGGTAAATATCTATTTTAGCTTCGATTAACGTAATTTTACCGACAGATATTCTGCCCGCACTGTGGCAACAAAACACTGAAGAAGGTAGCGGTAACAGTGAACCCCGATGGCACACAGAAAATCTGGATCAATACAAAGAGGCCTATAAACACTAAAGGAATGAAGGTTAGTGGAAAGGTTCATTATGAAGGTTTTTGTCAACACTTACATCTTAAAAGCACTTTTTGTTTTGATTTCACTTCATTTAAAGTGCCTGTGAGGTTTGGAAGCTTGCACTGCACTTTTTCTGTATGGTTATCAGTAGCAATGCAGGGATTACTGTATGGTTATCAGTAGCAATGCAGGGATTACTGTATGGCTATCAGTAGCAATGCAGGGATTACTGCATGGTTATCAGTAGCAATGCAGGGAGTCTACATTTTTATTGAATACTATTGTGCTCTTGATCATTCATTTGCGATGTTTTTGACTGTTTGAAGTTGGAGTCTGAAAGAATTTATTCTTTGTATCTTGGTGTGTAAGATTAAAAGAAAGAAAAAGAAGTTGGGTTTAAAAGATATTAGTTCTGCATAAAACATTTTTGATGAATTAAGAGTTGGTTGTGTCTTCATATGCTTAGATCCAATGATTATATAGCTTGCTCATACAATATTCTAGTAACAGAGAGTCATACTGTATCAATGCCCCATTTCTAAGTTGTGTGGGGTAGGGCACCCTATCTTGAAGTGGTTGCGAGGGTCATGACCCCACGACCCAGTCTCTGACCAGGCCTCCCTCCTGGTTGCTAGCCATGTCAATCCATAGAAAGTAAATTATTAACATTTTATTGTAGTTTAACTTATGGATTATGAAAACAATGAATTCATTAATATAAATGTTTTCTTTAAATATATATATATTCAGTACCTTAAATCCTGTAAGTAGAAATTCATTTATTAAACTAATAATGTTCATAGCATTACTTTTGAGGAATAGTATAAAATGAAATGCAGTTTAGTTTTCAGTTGTAAGTTTTATATTCAACAAATGGATCTTGATTGTAAATATATACTAATATATATATATCTTTGTTTTGCTAGTACTCGTTACCCACTCCTAAAGGTGGTAAACATGGGAGGAACCCCATATTGGTAGAAGATCAGCGAGAAGCGAAAAGGTTTTCGAGCAAGATGAGTCGGAAAAAGGTTAATCCTCTACATGAAGATTATAATCCAGGTGAGCATTTTCCGACATTTTTTTGTTTTTCCCGCATTTTATACGGGACAAGAATTCGTAAGACTTTGCTTACGAATTTAATCCATTCCAAGAGACGGTTTGTAAACCGAAACAAATTTTCCCATAAGAAATAATGTAAATTGAATTAATGCATTTTATACAGAATAGTACTCATATATTGTACTACAGTATGTCTTACCTTTATTGAGGATTCTTGTTGGTGTATGAAAGATGGTGAGGAGGGAGGAGGAGAAGTGTTAGTGTTCGGAAGGGGAGTCCTCTTCCATTATAACATCAGGCACTGATGACATTTCTCGGGTACTCTCTTACTAAGAATCTGTCTAAAGACACTTGTTTTTCCCTACATTTTAACACTTGGCTGTAGTGAGACATCACATTCATTCACTATAAATGATCTTTGTTTTTTCTGTATCGTCATCCTCACAACTATTTTCTTAGGTTGAACTTTACCACTGACTTTCTTGGGACTCATGGCATTATATATAATAATTACTTTAATGTTCAGAAAGCAGAAAAGCAATTAAATTTTGTATGAAGAATTCAAGCCCGGCCATCACTAAGCGTGAGACACTGGTAAACTGAGGCGCGCCTTGCCCATGCCCAGGAGATCCACACACTTGTCGATCCATACATGTATCACCAAATTCGAGAACCGAGGCAAGCCTTGAATACCGAGTCAAATTTTACCAAGAAATTGAGCTCGTGTGCTGAAAAATTTGTAAAGTGGGGCATTCGTCAACCAAGGTTTCACTGTACAGTATATACAGGTGACCCCATGCTTTGGGACACCTGACGAATAAGTGGTTAGTCATACAGACAATTTAAAGGCAAAAACCAGTGATCCAATGGGGATAATTCTCCATTATGTTGTTCAGTACTTACGAATATATGAGAAGTTCTGGGAGTAGGTGTGGGCATAGGCATGTAGGGAGTGTGTAGCAATAGTGTCACTGGGAAAGTGGCAGGTCTTGCACATCCTCAGTGAACTAGAGATGGATACAACTAGCACAGGTCTGCATGCTTATGTTAACACTGGCTGGGGAGGGGTCACAGAGGATCAGAGGGGGTGTGGGAGTTATTTGTGTGACAAATTGTAAAGAACAGGACATAATATTTTTATGGTTATTTGTTCATTGTATTGCAAATATTTAAATAGATTTTGAAATGCTTTATTAAAAGGCATGTGATGTTACATCATGTCATCCTACGGCAGGTGCTAACATTTTGTACTGGGTGAGTTTGTGGGGAGGAGGCAGGGGTTTAAAGAGGAGAGATGTGTGATCACCTCTGTGGCCTGGGCCTGGCTGGCCTTGCCCTGCTTTGCCTGATGAGGAACCTTCAGATGGTGAAGAGCTTTTACCACTCCCACACTCCACATTATTGCACATTTTTATTCAGACCACCTCCCCACCTCATCAGTTTCACATTTTTATTTGGATAAATGAATAACAGGCATATCTGGATAAGAGGTGTCTGGAAAGCACGTGGTAGTCTGTAGGTGGACCATTGCCTTGGTGGGGTTCCAGTCACTCCCTTTCCCTGTGGGGTGAACTCTGGAAAATTATAATGTCTGGAGTTTAGTCTTCAATGCAGTCATTCACATACATCACCACCCCATGAAAATGGGGAACAGTAATGACTCCAAACTTTCATAGAATTACTGTACATTTAAGCAGTAATTTGCTTCAAATTTCTAAATATTTCAGATACATTGTAATGCTAATATTTATAATGTTTACCTTTTTTTCAGGCCAAATGCCATTTGCAGTACGTGATGTGTACTCTCGTGCTGCTCAGCTGGGCTACATTGATGGCAAGAACCATCACCATTACTATTGGGAGAAAAGAAACCCCAATGAACCAGCGAGACGAACAGGGAAAAAGAAAAATCACGAATAATAAAGATATTCATGTACACGTATTTAATTTCCATTAAATATCCATATGGGTGGGATCCTTTATTTATATATACAGTACAAGCTTTACAATTTAGGCATGACCAGCATTAAAGGAAAAGCTATACAGTACATGTAGATTATGGATTGCATAGCCCAATACCTTTTACCTAAGTACACATGCATGGAAATGTGATTGCACTTGACTAATATATCATTTAATAATTTAAAAAGATGTTGCCCTTGGTTTAAAAGAAACAACTATAGATTTTGAGAGAAAAGTGTGTGAAATACAGTATACCAAAAATTAAAACAAAAAAATTGATAAATGGGTAGAATAATTTAAATAAGGTAGTGTATGCCAAAATGATTTAAATCATCAAAATGTCAGATGCTAAGGATTAAGGGGATGACGGCACACCATAAGTGTGGCTCATATCCAGCACAAATAAACATGTCCCAGCCATGTGCATTTCGATAATGTGTGGTTAGACTGGGCCAGCCACGGAAGAAATTATTCTACTAACTGTGCTATTGTATTAAAAATTGCACAGTAGTAAATTGCTTCTATAAATGTTTACTGGAGGTAAATAAAATTAAGTTTGAAAAATTATTATGGGCAAGTACAGTATTAACAATGAAAATCTGGATTATAAGTACTGTACAGTACACATTCAAATTAGTCATGGAGCTGCCAAGCATTGTTATTTGAAACAGGGCATTGTTAGTGTCTCAAAGGAAGGACCCCAAGAAAGTCATGGAAAAATCTGAAAATCAAAACTGCCACCTGCCCAAAGAAAACTAAAGGACGTCTAGCAGCTAGGAATTAGATGACCCGTGTATGAAGAAAAATGAAACCAATGCAGACACCCATTCCCTGGTTCACAGCATGTACTGATGCAAGTACTGTACTCCCGAACTACACTTGAAGGAAGATGAGATAATTGACACCCGTGCAGGGAAAGATAACACCAAGTCATGAACAGGGACCCTTAAATGCTCTTGCAAGGTAGCAGAGGTGGTGTCTAGCTCATGTGAGAATGTGGTATAAGAGAACATGTCCAGGCAGAGCAACAGATTCTAAAGAGGGTTAAGTAATAATCCCAATGCCCTGAAATCTTTCTCTGCCTCAGACAAGGCAGGACAAGTGAGCCAACATTCCCTTAAAACCTGGGAAGCCAAAGCCCAAGGCCCATCCCAAAAGACAAGCAAATAAATTGGGGAGAAGTCCTCTAGCCACCTCACATCCCCAGAGGGAACAGTCCATAGCCATTGGAGCCAGCAACCCAATAATACACATCTGGTCATGAAATGCAACTGATGGAAGGAGAGATGTGCAATGCAAAACAGATGCGAGTTGGGAGAAAAATGTGTTCCATTTGAAAAGTGGTGCAGCTGATGGATGGATGGATGAATAAGCAAGTGGCCAATGTTGGCAAGGAAGGAATGGGGGGTCATGCCGGCAGCTTGAAATAGCTGAGCAGCCTGAACAGACAAATGAAAATTTGATGCCAAGTGATTTGAAGCTGGCTGGCAAGTCAGGTGAAATGAAGTTACACGGTTTAATTAAGACCATACCCACATAAAACTTCCATGCACACTATGTCCAGGCAGAGACATAGACTCAACTATTTGCTACTGGCCAAAACTGAAGTCAGCACCTTAAACAGCACCCACTAGGTGAAAGTAGAAATGCAAGAGTTCGGGAGACATGATCACCACATACAAAATTCTCAGGGTAGACAAGGACAGATTATTTAGCATGGTTGGTGTAAGCTGAAGGAGGAACAAGTGGAAACTGAGCACCCAAATGAGCCACAGACACATAGAAAGAACTTTTTCAGTGCCAGAAGGGAAGGGAAGGGAACTATCAGGAGAAAATGGCAATCCATTACGACTATATAGCACTTGGAAGGGGTCAAGATAAGGATTTGGGATGAGACGGGAGGGGGAAGGAATGGTACCAAACTACTTGGGTACCATTCCAAGACTGTCCACAAGATATTTGGACAGTCGGAGGATTGAACACCGACCTGCATGAAGCAAGACCATCGTTCTACTGTGCAGTCCAAGTGGTTGGTTTCAGTGCCATTGTAGTTAATAAATGGTATGCATTAGGCAGTGGAGGTGGAGGCAGACTCCATACACAGTTTCAACTGTAGATATGATAAAGAGCTTAATAAGCTCAGGAACCTGTACACCAGTAGATTGAGAGATGAGAAGCAAGACCAAAAAGCTGAGGTTCAACTAGGTAAATACATTGGACAGCGCCAACTCAACACTCAACAGCGCCATTTTTTGTTATAGTCCATGATGCAATCTGGTTTATATATGGGTTCTTTGGCTGCTTTTTTTACTTTGCCACTGTTCACCAGCCTACCAGTGTGAATGGTTCTCAACATATTTACTTCCCATCTGTCTTTCCAATGCACTGCAAGTACATTGTCATTTTTTCTTACCTGACATTCACCTACTGCAATATTATTGTCAAACACTGGCATTTTCCCCTTTAATGACTTTACTGTCCCAAATACTCCAGTTATACATTCAAACAGGAACCTAGTTATCAAGGGGACTGGTATAATAATTGTCTGTATAAAATGTGTTCTGTGGCATGACACCACTTCTTGTTCAGCAGTGGCGCCATCAGCGTCTTTACTACACTACTTGAAAAACCATGAGGATTGTTATTGGGAATGTCTGTGTTAGTGCCAGAGTAAAGTATCATGTCCCTCATCATCCCTGTTTCACAATCACAAGGAATGAGGAATTTGAGTCTAAATGCTTGAAGGTAAGAAATCCTTTTAAATGTATAAGAGATACAGGTACATCAAGCACCAGCTTCTGACCTGGTCCATAAAAATCTTTTTACTAACCATTGAGTTCACAGTAGATGTCTCACCTTCCACAGTCTATTATCAGTGTTCTGGTTTTCACCATTGTATTTTCAAAATGAATGGACCCCGAGTAGTAGCAGAAACCTGTCGTGTGAAGATGACGAGTCACAATAACGTAGCTGAAGGTATGAAGACCAAATCACACGTCAGAAGATGAAGAAACAATAACATTTCAGTCCATCTTGGACAGTTTTCAAGTTGTGTGACATGTTTTTTTCTGAAAATAGGTGATATGACCACAGTCTGTTTATATAATGCTAGATGATGTGTTTCATAGAATGTTTTATCGTACACAAGATTCAGCTACAGTGATATCCTCCCAACACTGCAGTAATGAATGTAGTAATATGTCTTTAGTTCCAATGAATTTTGTAACATATCTTCATTTCCTGAACAATATGTTCCATGAGTGGCTCATCAAGGTATGCCATCAAATAGTCCATCTCACTCGTGTTATTAGTTCAGTATATGGGAATGTCAGTAATCCCAATATCTGTATCGTCAAATGTTTGAATTTGTGTTATTTGTCCACACCATCTCCTTGCACGAGTACTTCTGTTCTGACAGAGGAAAGGCCAACACCATGGCCCTGTATCCTAGCACCGGCAAAACTAAGTCGATTAGGATGTGAAGGCCATCTACTACATGCGAACAGTTAAAAGATTAGAGCATTTGTCCCTCAATTTTCCCGTGCGACATCACAATGAGATGTTTGGCTGGGTGAACACCTGGTACAGCAGAGCTGTTCCTGGTAACACCACATATACCACTAGCCACAGCACTGCTAAACTATTATCAGATTTCACATCACTAAATCCTGAATTTTTTTTTTTATTTTGCACATTTTTGTGAACTATGGGAACAGCATGTGGCACAGACCCACACGGCCTGTCTCAAGGTTGGAGTGATGGTATAGAGTGAGGTCTCAGCAGGAGTGGTGATCGTGTAGGCCTTGGCCTTGGGGTAGATATGTCGACATCATTCTCTGTATCACTGTTTTTTGTGCCCTATGCATAATCTTTATTTCTGTCTGAATTATCAAATTCACTTTCTTCATCAATTCTCATAAGCTACTTCTGAATTTCTTCTTCTGTAAGTGAATCCAAGGACCGAGCCACAGTGTTGCATCAGGTGGTGGAGGAATGCGCATCAGCCATGGTGGCTTGATATAAATTGAGGCATTCCCACTAATGCGCCCTACTCAGGATTTCTTTTTAAGATGGCAGCTGTTTACTATCACCCCTGGAGAGTGTCTATGCCTCGTTTACACAGCAGGACTTTTTAAATCTTACGCAGTACAGTACTTTTAAAACATCCCGGAATGTTTTGCACAGTCTACGGATATTTAAACGAGAACACCCCCTCGTGAAGTTGAAGGGTTAATAACCATTTACTTGAACAAATTTTATTCAGTTCCTACACACATGGATTGTATTGCCAGTCACAGTCTGGGTATGATGTCACCTCTACAGTTCTACAGTAACTTCCTTTTCCCGTATAACCCATTAACAGTTTAATTTATCTTAATCCCATTGTACAGTCATGAGGTGGAGGCATCAGTCTGGAGAAGATAGGGGATTCATCCTACCTTCCATACTCAGTAGCATCACAGAGAACCAGCACCACTAAGAAATGATCCATAGCTGCAAACATCCTACTACAGTAATACCCAAGCTTTGTTAAAATTGTGTTCCTTGGTTATATATAAACTCATCTCCAGTGCCTCCTACTTAAGTTTTTACCTTCGATGACATTATGATATATTTTTTGATGAGAAGGTAAAGTGATCAAATTTGCATTTCTGAATATCAGTTCAATCATGTCTGTCTATGCCCTCATGTGGTGCTTCAAACACCTTCTGGGGGACGATACTACCCACTTTGGGAATCACTGCCTTGCCGAGTCTTATGACTGGGTGTATATGGCTCTGTTTTAAGCTGTCATTGTCAAACATGTGGCCTGACCTCACAAATTGCTGCCATGTAGACATCTTATAGTTTCTTGTCTATTGCTCATCAAATCCCTGCTCTCTCTCTCTTACACGTACACGATCTATTGTGTTCCAATCATCCTGGCTTCTTGCGTCTATTTATTTCTAAATTCTCTCAGTATAGACTATTCTC